TGAATACATGCTTGCCTGAGCAGTCTCAGAAGGGAAGCCAAAATACAGTCTGAGTTCTTTAAACATCCAAGCAACGTTGTCAGCCAGTCCAATGGTCAGAGTTTCCGGGTTTCCAAGCAGAAGTCACAGAACAAGAGATCAGCAACAACACACACAAAACTCCAAGGAATCAGCATTTGTTCCTGACAAATGCCTCTCCCCATAGCATCTCCTTAAATCTCATTCTCCAGGTGTGCCTTATGGAGAGGGACGGGATGGTCTCCTCCAGAATAGTTGAGTCTGCCTGTGTTGTTCTTCTCTCCACTCTCTGTGCTCTAGGATCAGGTGGGGGTGGCCCTTGCTCATCACCTGAACTCTGTCTCTCCTGTTCCTCCTGTCCCACTCCTGAAGGGCCCTGGCCTGCCTCTGCCTGCTCTTCCCCACATTCCTCTGAAGCCATAGACACCTCTCCCTCGACCTCCATAGGGTCCCATTCCAGCTCATTTTCCTCCGCAGATTCAGGCTCCAACGAGGGAGGCATGACAGATAGTGGGGCATAGCATCACATCAAAGTCCCACCCCTTTGAGTATTGCCAGCACTTCATAAAAGAAGTGGAGTGAATATGATCACAACATACTCATACTTGTAGATGCCACTGGGTTCAAGAAAGATTCTCTTGGTCTTTATTACTCCAAAGACCAAGAGTACGAGTTCAACTGAGTTGATGATCTGGACTAGTGAGTGGCTTTTGGTGATTTCTGTAATTGTTCTCAAGTTTGTTGCTTGTTCGGAGTGACTTGCCACACAGACACCTGAAGGGCTGCTATAATCAGTGATGGGATTCAGCCGTTTCGCACCACTTCAGCAGAACCGGTAGCTAATTTGTTGTTGCCCAGGCCCAGAATAGACTTCTGGAAGCAGCATCCACACAGAAAACCAGTTGTTCACATATTTGAATCCCACCACTGGCTATATTGCTGTATTTCAGAAATGGTCAATTTATCAATCTACATTTTTCCAGAGTCATCTATCTTTGGCTTATGGGACAAATGGTGCTGCCTTGGAGAAGGCTTGCTTATTTGTTTGTTTCTCAGCCTTATCACTTAACATTTGGGTCCTTTTGCTTTTTTTTGGTTTATGACACTTACTTCTGGTTCCCTCAAACAGATGGCTTGTTAGGATATCAATCCCAACAACTCTGTATGAGGTGTGTGTGTGTGTATGTGTGTATAAGTGTGTGAGAATAAGAGTGAGGGACTTCTAGAAATCAGTGTTGCAAGCAACAAAGTATATAGTGATATGAAGATATGTAATCAGCATTTTAAAGGAATCCATCTTCAGTACATAGTTCAAGGAGTTAACGATGCTTTAAATAAGCAAATCTGCTGATTAAAAAACAACATCACATTACACCAAACAAGATAAACTGACCATCTAACCACAATAAATATTTTTCTTGATAAATGTAAGCTCCGAATAATTTTTTAAAGGCAGGATCATTAGTGTAAGTTAATTTAAATTATGGAATACAAAACAGAGTCAACCAGCAGGATTGTGTTCTGTATACCTTACTGAAAGATAATAGGCTATATTCTACACTTTCTTTGATCAAAATCCTTTTTGGCAAAAATAACAAATTAACCACATCATATGGTACATTATGTGGTATTTAGACATGAACAATTGAAAGGAAAATTATCTTTCCCATAGTTTTTGTTGTTACTGAATAGAAAGTACTAATTTTGTCTTTAGTTTTCACCTCAGCTGATTTATATCAGTAATAGCAAGCAATTTGTTCTAGCATTGCATCTGATCCCTGGTAACAGCAGTTGTGCTTGCTGGTAAAGCTGAATTTATTACTACACTATGGTTAGCAAATGCAAATACAAACGTACATATGAAAAAGTCTCAAACACATCTGAATTAAGAGCATTTTATTTTCATGGAAAACTTAGGTATATCATTCTGTTCAGGTTGGAAAATCTTTGGTACCTAAAAAATAAACCCCAGAAGTTCAATGAAGTTCTCCTTATTTCCAGATAATTATGCTTAGGACAAAAATATTTCAGTTCAGTAGTTGCGGTAATTAAAACAACAACACTAGAAACATTAGACATTTTAATAACTCCAAGTGATTTGAAGAAAAGATGAAACAATGTAATAGGAAGTTTGCATATAACATACAATCAATTCAGTCTCTTCGTTATCACAAATAGAAATATAGCAGGCAATTTAATCTTCATATTACACAATAACGCCATTGCTTCAGTGACTTGGAAAATTGGGAAATGATTTAAACAGGACAACCTTATGCTTTCTGCCAGACTAATAAGATTTAACGCTAATGCAGCATTTAGACCTGTAGTATTCACAATGCAGTTCTCACATAGCAAATACTAATAATTAAGGTTGCTGCTTTCATATTAGGAAATATACCTGTCTTATGTAACATAGCAATTTTATATTTAAGGTTTGCTGGCTGAAGAGTCACTAGCCATTATGAAAACTTGTTATGCCAGTGGAATCTAAAATGTGTTGCCTGGATTTCTGGTTTCACAGGAAAAGGTATGCCAGTTGAATAGTCACAAAATGGTGGGGTAGTCAGCAGGTTAAGAATGGAGGTGTGGGCAGATTAGGGAGAATCAGAGAAAAGAACTCCTGCACCTAGCTAACTTTGGCTGATCTTGAAAAGCTCAGTTGCTTTGAACATAGCCAGTCTGTATATATGAGAACATCAGAAAATCTTATCATTATAAACCAGGAAATAAAAAAAATATCCTGGAAGAAGGCAATGACAGTGACCATATTATTACTAAGAAAATCCATGTCCATGAAATCATTACAGTTAAACTCAACTTGAAGACATCTTTATCTTTGCACCTATACAATCGCAGCATCTGGCCAATCATTTCAAGGCTTGGAAGCTAAGCAAAGTCTATATTTGAAAAACTACCAGTTAATCCCAGGGCTATAAGACACTGTGAAGTAAAAAAAAAACTTGACTGGAAAAGAAACAGTGATAAACAATTTCCACACTGTTGCTAAGGGAACTGCAAGGATGCAGCCATGAAGTCACCAGGAGCAGAGGCAATCTCTACAGTAGTTGACAAAGTATTTTACCTTTTTTATACTTAAGCCATAAATTTATTTCAAATCAATTCCCATGAAAAAAAATAAATTAAGAGTAACTACTCCACTGTTCATCATATAGCCCACGTTACCGAGGTACAGTATAAGTCAACAGCCGAGTCCAATATACTAACTTAGCAGTGTCTGCTGAGAAACACTAGGAATTTGTACAAAAAGGGCATTTTGCGTATAAACACACACAATTCTCTACAATACATAGAGTCCTCAACTTATGATCATTTGTTTACTAACCATTAGAAGTCACAATGATATTGGAAAAAGTGACTTACGACTGGTCGTCTCAGTTATGACCATCATAGCATCTACGTACTCACATGATCAAAATTTGGGTGCTTAGCAAATGACATACATTTACAAAGGCTGCAGCATCCTGGGGTTATGTGATCATTATTTGTAAACCTTCCCAGCCAGCTTCCAGCAAAGCCATTGGGGAAACTGGATTCACTGAACAGCCCCATTATTTAGTTACATGGCAATGGGTAGCAGTGAGAATTAGGTCTGTCTTGGTCCCATGCTATTTATGCTATAGATTCCTGAAAGGTCTCATTATATTCCCTTTGTTTAAGTGTTATCAGCTGGAGGCTGCAATCATTTCCCTGACTGGGATCACAGGTGGCAGAGCACAGATGCAATCATATCACATAAAAAGAAGCCACCATATTTTTGGTCTACTTTAAAACATGTTGTGCAGTTTAAGCAGCATTTAGCATGTCCAACCAATTAATGCACTGATTTGCTTTCCTGCCTATATTTGCAGTAATATTCAGCTACTGCTATTTGATGACATTTTGGTAGTATGGTCCTACTAAAATGAAATGAAATGAAAATGTGTGATTGCACAGGATCTGTGAGTTGCCCATATTGCTCCAAATGAAGAAGATCATGAGGGAGCTTGGGTTGAAGCTCTGAGGGTACTTTGCTGTGTCTCTGTGCTGAGAAAATCAGGTGAACCTGCACAGGAGCTACAGTGGTGCCTTAATAGGGAGTGGGTTGGACAAAGACCATAAACCCTAATCAGAATAGAATGGCAGAGGTATTGAAAATATAGCTGTTTCTCATGTCCATGAATTGGTTGAATATGAACTTTATGTAGAAGTGCAGGCTACTTGAAAAAATACTTAGCTTTTGGAGATTAATCAATGCCATTTATTTCTTCCAATTCTGCCACAGATTGAACATCAGTTTAAGGCTTATGATTTATTTGCCCAGTCATTTTGAACTATTTGCTGGATTGCTCATTCTGATGCCTCTGTAGTTTTGGCTAGATTTATATCCAACCTTTCATTCATGAACTCAAGATGGCATTTGTAGTCCTCCCATTTTTCTTCACACCACTGCCCTCTGAAGTGGGTTGAGCTGAGAGAGAAGAACTTGCCCCAAATCATCATGAACTTCCATGGCTGAAGGAGCTCTTAAAGCTGATTTCTCTGGCCCAATCCAATCCCTTCACCACTACATATTTGTGTTTTTATTCACTATACAATGCCTTATTTGGGACTTATGTCTATTGACTTATGATTATGTCCAATGTGAGCAATTATCCCAATACGTTTGGCCTCCTCCCCCCACCCCCAGAACAAAACTTTATCTAAAAAAGCATATGCTTCTCTTGCTGGCACCTCGGAAAGGTGGACCTCTAGCGCCTTCTCCTCGCTTACCTGCCAGGTTAGGCCCCGTGACTCCTCACTTAGAGGCCTGGAGAAGGGAGGCGCCCGACTTGAGCGCCCGACCCTTCAGTGCGGAACTCACTTTGCGGGGGAACCGAGCGCGCAGGCACGAGGCGGAGGCTGGCGCAGGCGGCTCCAGGCAGAAGTTCCCCTCCCACTCGCTCGCACATGCTGCCGAGCCGCCACCGCCGCCGCCAGCTGGAAGAGCCGCGCATTCTCGGCGCTGACCTTCCACTTAGTCCGCAGGCTGCCCCCGGCAAGTCACCTTCGCTTGCGGCGGGCAAGGCATGCCCCTGATCTCCTTGGCGGCCCTTTCCGCCTGGACGCTTAGCGGGGAGGCTGACCATGAACCCTCAATGCGCCCGCTGTGGCAAAGTCGTCTACCCGACCGAGAAAGTCAACTGCCTGGATAAGGTGCGCGCGCGCCAGGTGGCCGAGCCAGCTGCTGCTTGGGGCGAGGGGCGGCCGGGAAAGGTAGAAGGGGATCCAGCGGGCATGCGGGGGGAGGGATGGGCGAGGAACTGCTTCGCGATGGCTTCATTCCTTTCCCTCTTTTCTCCGGCATCGTCTCAGATTTTACGTGTGCAGAAGTAGAACGACTCCAAACTGGGACATTTTAGAGGCCCTCGTTTCCTTTTGCGGGGGAGCATTCGAGATTCTTTGGGGTGGGCGAGATTGAACTTAAAAGGAATGTTTTTATGTGCGGTGGCTAGGAAGAGCCTTTCCTACCGGACACCTGTCACCTGTCTTGGATGGCAGCTCCCGCCCCTGCCATTTCATCTCTTCCTCTCCCTTCCCCCTCCCCCCCTCTTCCGATCTTAGCCGTACAATTTACACGCGGGCAAAAGTATTGGTTTTGAGCTCCATAAGAAAACCGGAGAGATGGTTCAGCCTCGTGGTTGCACGGCGGTTCCGGGAAGGGCGGATGGAAAGAGAGAAAAGCCTGCGCGCCTTGCGGGCCAGGCGGCTCGAGAGGAGGTCCGTGCTGAACAGCACTGCGCGGGCTTGGTTTTTCCCTCTTGCTTTGGGAACTGGGCTGCGGCGGGAGCGGGGATGAGCGGAAGCGCTGAAGGCAGCAAAGCAAGCCGACGAGCAAGTCGCCTGAGCAGCCCTTGCGCCTCCTCTCACCCCCCCCCCCCAGTATCGCAGTGGCGCTGGTTTCAGTAATGAACTTGTCACCCTGCAGCTGACGCATTGCTCGCCCTGCCTGCGGGAGGAGGCGAAGCTTGATCTTCTCTGTCAGGTTCCAAAGGGTCTCCTTCAGGCCCCTCATCCCCCAAACCTGCTCGTCTGGATAGGCTTCAAAAGGAGCGAAGAGACTAGGCCTCCTCCCTTTCTTCCATATGAATGCTGAGGGACTGCTCCCTTCGACCTCCCCAAGTCCTAAAGGTGAGTCCCTCATCTGGGACTCGAACTGCCTTTTCGCCTCCAGCGCTGCAATGCAGAAGGGGCTTCTTCGGCAGCAGCTGTTACGTAACGCCGCCCGCCCGCCGGCTTCTGTGGGCAAAGCTTCGCGAGGGGACAAGGAGTACCTCGCCGCCCGAGCCTGCCCTTCTCGGGGAAATGATTTCTGTCTAGCCCGCTGGGGATCACAAAAGGGCGATTGTATGAAGGAAACCGCAAATAGCGATGCTGTGACAAAAATGCCTCCGCCTCCCCCCAAAAGGAATGAACAAATTTTTGGTCGACATTAGGACAGTTTTCTATGAATAAGTGGGTGGTGTTAATGTTTTCTGTTTGGGGATCTGCCTTGACAAATTATGTATTTTAATCTCATGTCCTTCTGTTACTCAAATAACAGGAACCATGTTTTCTGGAATGGGGGAGAAAAACAACCCTATGAAGTCAAACTACATATAGTAATGATGTGGGATAAGCTAGAAAAGAAGGATGTGATGTAGTAAATGGCCTGATAATGTGATGTTTTTAAAATTTTTAGTAAGATGTCTGTCACATTGGGCTTGACTAATGTAGTAACAAAATACTCAGTAGACAATAATTAAGGCAGATTAAAGACATGAAGGGCTGATAGTTACACGATTAAGGACATACTATTATTTTGGGAGGAGACCTTATAACTCTGGTCACTGTCAAGAAACTGTACATGAAGTTTTTAATAAGCAAAAGGAAATGCTGGTATTTGGGTCAGTTTAATCCCAGCCTTCACAAAACATTTCCTCCTTTCTCTGTGTACATTGGACCAAGAACACAGAAGGAGCCAATGAAAAAACAATGAGTCGGGATTGTCTGTTGGAAGCAAAACTTCAGTCCATTATGACTTTGTTGACCTCAGTTCACAAATGCTCCAAATACTTGAGAATGCTTTAAAACATTATCACAAGCTATATCAATAGTAGCATGAATGAAAATGCTCCAGGAGAATGAGTGGCATTTGTAAATTGTAAATTGTAAATCAGCAGCTTTTGATTTAAGCAATGAAGTAAATTCTCTATAGCCGAGAATACTTTTAGGATCCTGACCAAGCAGAATGAGTGGGTGACCCATTAAATGGAATAGGATGTTTGCCACATTTTGAAATCATATACATTTAAAGGCCCTACTTTGTAAGACCATTAAATCTAGAGTCCAAAATTACTCATAGCCCTGAAAGCTAACAGATCTTAAAAGGACCATCTCCACTCATTGCATAAATACTATATGTTGGCAATGATACCACTTATAACCATACATATTTTTTTTCAGTATTGGCACAAGGGATGTTTTCATTGTGAGGTCTGCAAAATGGCTCTAAATATGAACAACTATAAAGGATATGAAAAGAAGCCTTACTGCAATGCGTAAGTGTTAAAATGTTAACTTAAAGAAATGTATTCATACATTTGTATTCATAAATGTACTCATACATACTCATTAGCTCAGGTGGCAAAACCTAGATAATTTGGATGATCTTGGAAAAAAAGAGAAGCAAGGTGAAGCCTGATTATTTCTTGGATGAGATGTAATCAGAAATCTCAGGACTATAGGCTAAATGGGAAAGTAAAAAAAAAATATTCCAGTAAATGGGTACGGCAAACCACTTCCTTATTGTTGCCAAGATCTATGCATGTATTAATGAAATCATCAGCAGTCAAACTTGACTCGATGAAGATTTTATCTTACATGTACTGACAGGATGGATATTGGCTTCGACAGATATATTACCAAAAGGTAACTTCTCAAATTAGTACGTTCAATCTCTGTGAAGTTCTTTAGCATGAAATCTTTATAGCGTACAGAAAAGTCTATTTTTCATTTAAGCAGAAAAACTTTGTTTTAGAATGATGATCTCCAAACTCAGAAGGATTGACTGTAGTTTATACAAAAATGTATACAAGATCATTCTCAAGAGTTTTTATGGCCCTATTAGAATGAAATCATATAACGTTTCTTAATCGGTGAAGAATACCAATATAGTTTCTACTCATGGTTTTGGAGCCAACACCATGAAAGGATTGGTAGATATGTTTTATGAAATATCTTTATCAAAATTGAGTATATACCAAATATATATATATACCATATATATAAATATAGAGATTAAAACAAAATTTTGAAAAATTCTTTGCTTTCTATATTGCTATATTGTTAGTAAGTCCAGGATGATCTTGTTTAAAGGTATTTTTTTGGGGAAAACTAATTTTTCTTTCAGGTAGGTAAAAAAAAGGTAAAGGAGTCCTTGTAGAGTTTTATTCTGCTAGTCATGACTGACTATGGGGAGGGGGGGTGCTCATCTTCATTTCAAGGCCATTGAGCCAGTGCTGTAAGAAGACATTTCCATGATCATGTGGCCAGTATGATGTCACAGAATGCTGTTACCTTCCCAACAAAGTGGCATCTATTTATCTACTCACATTTGCATGCTTTTGAACTGCTAGGTTGGCGGCAGTTAGGGCAAGGACGGGAACTCACCCCATTGTGTGGTGCTTGGGTCCTGAACCTGGGCTGCCAACTTTCCAGCCAACAAGTCTAGTAACTGCTGAGCCATTGTGCCCCCCCCTTCTTAGGTAGACATACATCTTTATTAGATTATATGTTAAGGCATTAGTATATGAGGTGAATCTATTAATTCCATAAAGTGGCACTGGGAAACACATATTAATATTTACCTTTATTTTCAACCATTCATATCAAATTTGTAGAGTCTGGATTTACATATCTATATTTTCACTAGTGGAAATGCAGAAAGAATGGAAACTTTATTGGATTCTAATTATTCATTTGAAGAAATAACTGAAATATTCTAGTTTTTGGAAAGGATATGAAAATGCAATAAGATATAGTTCCTTTTGAAGGATTCATATCCCTATTTAAAATCTGTCATCAGCTTCAGTTATGTCGGTTTTTGTCATGTTCCTGTAATTATTTGGGGCTTGATAATTTGTGTGCAATAGTGATTATAATTCTACACAAAAAATATTGTTTCATAGTATTTTCTTTTTCACAGAGGGTATTGGCATCTATTTTCAGTGTGACATTTCTTATTATGAAAATGATTTGGATTAAGATCAATAAAAAAATGAATCCCAATGAACCCTACATGCAATGAATATTTGGTTTGTATGAGTGAAAAGAGTGAACAGCTCCTTTGGCTAGGATTATACCTTACATGAAGAAACAGGGACTTTGCTTGCAGATATTGATAGTTGTACTTCAGGCCACATAACTTCCATATACTTTTTACTAGCTATGGTAGATGTGCCAGCTGCAACTATCCTTAAACAATACAGACACACACACACACACACACACACAGAGTATATACTAGAGGTAGAGAACCTTGACTCTTTTATGACTTATGGACTTCAACTCCCAGAATTCCTGAGTCAGCATGGCTGGTTCAGGAATTCTGGGTATTGAAGTCCACAAGTCATAAAAGCCAAGGTTCCCTACCCCTGGTATATACAGATAAACACATGCACAGACACACACACACACACAGAGGTATATATATATTTGCATTTATATCCCACTTTTTTCTGAGTGTTTTAAGTTTGTTTACTTGAAGATCTCTACTAATATTTATGCTGCTTGTTTCCTCCAGGAACAAAGGCAGTCATTTTCTTCTTAAGTAATAACCGTGTGAAGAATGTTAGGCAAAACTTCACTTAGGGAATTTTGACTTTAAAGAAGGACTTAAACCTGAATCTCCTTTGTCCAAGTTCAACATCTTACTCACTAGGTTATTTTATATCCTAATCAGCAGCCTCATAGTTTATAGAATTCACCCGTTCACTGCTGTTGCTTTGATGTTTCATTTCAAAACAGAACTGCTAGCTAGACTGCTAGCTAGAAATAGTACTTGTTCTAGCTAAATATTTAGTGTTGTTTTTCTCATTTTTGCCAAATCACTTTTGTGTGCTATTTATGCATTGTGAACTGCTGTAGTGTATATATTGTGAGCAGTTTTTGAAGGAAGCATCTATATGTACAAAAACACACAATTATTTTAACTTCTTGAATGTATGAATTAGGTCTAGCTTAATCCAAAGGGCTAATATTCTGAGGAACTGAAAACATCTGCCTAGAAGATGGTAAGGAGCTTGGAGACTAAATATGAAGAGTAGTTAAAGAAGAAGTTAGCATAAAGAAGAAGAGGGAGGAATGTCAGAATGGTATCACAGGGAAGAGGGAGTAGATTCATATACTTAGCATCTGAAAGTTACATAAGAACAGGGGAACAAACTTTACAATGGGAAGTCCAAATGTGAACTAAGGACAAATTTTCTGACTGTGAGAGCTGTTAAGCAATGGAACAGCTTATCTCCTTAAGTTGTGGTTGCTCATCATTGCTGGATTTCAAAAGAAAAAGAAAAAGAAAGAAAGAAAAAAGACTGGACAACCATTTGTCCAGAATGGTATAAGGATTCCTGCTCTAGGGTTTGACTTGAAGACATCTAAGGTACTTTAAACTCTATGATTCTATATGACTGTGTGAATTGCAATAATTTTTTAGGCACTGTATATACAATAAAATGTCCAGTCATTAAGATAACTTAAATTCCAGAATAATTAATCATAATTGGATTCAATGCAATATATCTGTATTTAATGCAAAATATCCATGCAATCAAGTTAGGAGCAATTCTAATATACTGCCCACATAGATTAAAAATAAGTACTCTCCAGGAATAAATTGTGGATTTTTCCAGTGAACATTTTATTTCTTTCAGTATAACCTAAATGCTTTCAGTTTGATAATAGACTCCTTAATTGGATGTTGGATATTTTTTTAAATCCACTTTTGAATACTGGTAATGGAACACTTTCATTTAAATCTATTCCTTGTGGTTCCCCAAAGCTCCTTTTGGAACACATGGAATATTAAAATGTTTGACTTGGGATGTGTGCCCAATATGTCTAGTTTAGTATGCATAGTGTTTGTTTGCCTTTCAGAAAACAGAGTTCTCTTTTGATTCCTGAGAAGGGCAAGTTGTCTTTTGCTGCTTGTAATTTATTTACCTGCTTTTGCTTTTCATCTAGTTGGTCAAACAAAAGTAGGTTGCTTTCCATAGTTTATTTTTTTTTAAATATTCCTTTTAATGTTAGCAGGACACTAGAACTCCTATTGAGGCAAAAGGCAGCTGAGTTATTGGGAATGAATGTTGAATAGCAGAATAACAAAGTTAGAAGGAACCTTGCTCAAGCAGGAAACCATGCACCATTTCAGACAAATGGTTGCCAATCTCTTCTTAAAAACCTCCAGTGTTGGAGGACCCACAACTTCTGGAGACAGTGACTGCCTTTCCACAACTGGCCTGCTCTTTGGTAAAATAATATTAATAAAAAATCTGCAAGAAATTTCATTTGCCTGCAAGCAAGAACTGGTGGGACCATAAAATATAGAAAGCAAAGAATGAAAAAAACTAAATTGCTCTGGACTTTAGAATTCAAACAGACAGGCACCTGCCACATAATACCCCAGACTTAACAGTTGTCGATAAGACAAACAAGTCTCATAGTGGACAAGGCAGTATTTAGAGGCAGCAGAAAAGAAGATAAAGTTTGGGTGCAATCCCAAAACAACTGGAATAGCAGTTGAATACCATCAGCATTAATAACATCACCACCAGTCAATTGCAAAAGACAGCTTTACTTAGAACAGCTTGCATCCTGCAGTCATACCTCTAATACCATCAATTATATACATCTGGCTATCCCAGGCCTTAGGGAAAAACTCAATTAGTGGATAAAAATACCAAATCCATTCTAAACATTCTAAACCTGGCTCAAAAGTAGTAAATTGTGAGAGGGACCTTGGAGTCCTAGTGGAGGATCAATTAAACAGGAGTCAGCAGTGTGCGGCAGCAGCCAAAAAAGCTAATACAATCCTTGGTTGTATAAACAGAGGCATAGAATCAAAATCACGTGAAGTATTAGTACTGCTTTATAAATCCTTAGTAAGACCACACCTGGAATACTGTATCTCAGGGGCTGCCACAAAGAAGAAGGAGTCAAGCTATTTTCCAAAGTGCCTGAAGGCAGGACAAGAAGCAATGGAAGGAAACTAACCAAAGAGAGAAGCAACCTAGAACTGAGGAGAAACTTCCTGACAGTTAGAACAATTAACCAGTGGAACAACCTGCCCTCAGAAGTGGTGAATGCTCCAACACTGGAAGTTTTAAAGAACAAATGGACAGCCATTTGTCCGAAATGGTATAAAGTTTCCTGCCTGAACAGGGGGTTGGACTAGATGACCTCCAAGGTCCCTTCCAACTTTATTATTATTAGATGACCTCCAAGGTCCCTTCCAACTTTATTATTATTATTATTATTATTATTATTATTATTATTATTATTA